AAACAAAAAAAAAAAAAAAGGAAATGATAAGAGTAGCATGGAAATGAGACCATAATAAGAAAAAAAAAAGGAAACGAATATATACAAGAGGAGAATAGAATATTATTTCTTATCGTGTACGTGTGCATTTTTTTTTTCTTTTTTGCTCTCCATCTATTTACTTTTATTGAGTCCTAAACACATGATGTTTGGTGCCGGTGGAAGGTAATATGTATGTGGATGGAATACGTTTCTTAAGTGTCATTTCCTGATAAGCTATGCATATCCGTGCTACTTTTTTTTTGCTTTTTTTTTCTTTCTTTCTTTCTTTCTTTCTTTCTTTGGCTTGCTTCTTTTTTTATGGTGAATGTGTAACTTTCATTCTGTTGTTTTTTTTTTTTTTTTACGTTTTATATTTATAATGATGTTTCATTTCTCTGCTGTTTTATTCCCCTCTTGTAAGTAAGAGTATCTCCCTTCACCGATATGTCTTTCTTTTTTTTTCTTCATGCTATATATATATATAGTATATTTATGTTTTTCATTGAAAGGCTCATTATGCATTTCTCATTAAATTCCCTCTGATGTGAGTTTCTGTATATATATGTTTTTTTTTTTGTATTATTTAGTCCTTCTTTAACAACATTTTTCTCATCTTTTTTTTTATTTTTAAATTGTATTTTTTCCTTTTTTTTCTCCTTTCTTTTACATCCGCACCTTTTTCCGTATATATATATATATCTTTATTTGTGTAATGGACTGCAGTTGTTATTTGTCATCATCATCATCATCATCATGAACTCACTAGGCGGTCAGTTTCAATGTGTTATTCTTCTCGTTAGTGGCCGTGGAGAAGAGACAATTACGTCCACATCTCAGTCTGTGGCCGTCGTGCTGCCAATGGAATTAACACAATCATCCACGCCACTCTGCGAGTCGGTCGCCATTCACATTCGTGATTTCTGCGCCTTACACGATATCTCCTGTGTGGATTGGGGCCACGACACTAGCGCACTTCTCACCGCCTGTGCAGAGCGTACAGATACATACACACATGTCTCTCTGCTCCGCTGTGAAGATGCGGCGATTGCGAGTGTGCGGGAAGAATTGTTGGCGCAGCGACGACCCGCCGTGTTGATTGTGCAGTTGGCGTGTGAGACTGCCGTGCCGTGCGGTAGAGATGAACTGCAGTACAATACTGTTCCCAATTGTGTAGATGCTGCAGTTGCGGTGAATCCCAATGATGATAAGCGGCGTTGGGGTTGGCTGCGGCCTGTGCAGAGCTGCATGGCTGAGCTGCCGGGCTGTAGAGGTGTGTGCCTGGCGGCTCTACTCCACTCGGCCCTTCCACTGCTGCGTGCACGAGTCGCTACGCCGCCGCCGAAGTGGACAACGGCTGCCGTTACAATGGACGGACTGCTGCGGGAAGTGGGATATAAAGTGGGATGCTTGCCAAAGTATGGATCCTAACAATAATAATTATAATAATACTATTACTACATTTATCCTATATATATATATATATATATATATATATAGATCTCCTCTTACTGTACACTCTATACATCAGTAGACACACTACTATTTAACTCCATCCATACAAAGGACAAGAAATATAAACGAAGAAAAACTATTCTTGATGTATGTACAACTCAACTGTTTTTTTTTTTGTTCTTGTTGTTTTTTTCTTTTCACTTTCTTATTTCATAGAGGAAGAGAAGGATACGGACGAGGAACTGTCTCCATCTATGTTATGTGATGTCTTGACAAAGCCAGCCGTTAATGTTCTTGGACAAAGAGAGGAGTCCTATAATAAATTGTTGACAGGAACACAAATATACTAATATTGTATCATACACCGACGTGTTGCAGTGGACTCGTGTTCTTCACCTTAGCAACCACAATAATAACATGAACAAGAAATACACATTCATATATATATAGCGGACTGAGGACCCCTTTGGTATGTGTACAGGCTGTAATGAAGGAGCGGTAAGGAAAATAGTGGTACTATCAACAATAGTACCATACACTCTCAACACTCTTCAATGGAGCTAACACCATCAGTATATCCTTTTTTTTCCTTGGAAAGACGAAGTGACATTTTTTGACCATTTGGTTAACCGGACAACTGCATCATCCATACAGTGGGAGTGGACCTATTTACAGTACAATCTCCTCCCACTCCTGTTGTCCACGTACTCCTCAACATGAAGTGGAATTAAACACCTCCAGTTCACTTACAATAGACACTCTTACCATATAATTATCTCGAATTCCCAGAGAATAATAATGGAGGAAAGGACAAGCGGTAAAAGAATATACATGATAAACCACACATTTTTCTTTCTCCATTTTAAACAGACAAACCTCCAACATTCAAACTAAATAAGGAGAACATCACAAAAGGTTGCAGGATAAACACCATGATGAAATTCTTGAAACTTCTACACCAACAAAGGAACTTCACCTATGGGCTGCATTTATATTACCCATCAAGTGAAAGAAAATAGATTACAAAAGCAAATCTGAAATGGCTTCATCTTCAACTCATTAAAACAATGAAAAACTTACATGTTTAAACTTACAGCAGACAAAGTTATTTTAACAGACGTTAAACAACACACAAAAATAAACGATTCTACCTCTATTTCTCTTCTAAAATTAAGAGAGTATAGTTATACGATGCTTATGGATAGGTTTGGAGATGATACAACGTACAGACCCAGAGAGCGATTTTTGAAAGCGCGTTAGTTTATGAAGTTTCGCTGATAA